TAAGCAGCTAAGAGGGCCCATGATCCGTGATCGTTGTGACCGGAAGAGATCACGAGAGAGAGAGAGAGAGAGAGAGAGAGAGAAAGGAAGAGAGAACAGGAGTGCAACGAAAGCCTTTAAAAACTTCTTTACCGCAACAATGGCATACGCCGATTTTAAAAAGATCCAGCGAAGATTTATCCTCACTTTCACACCTCCCTGCGACGTCGGGTCGACCTTAAGACCTACAACAAATACCTGACGGGCGTAATCTGCAAGGGCTCTACCGTAGCGGGAGGGCTCCTGCACCAGCCCCATTATGATATTCGTGGTATTGTCAGGGCGTCGAATCTGTCTACAAATAACCCACTAGAGAAATGGTTACTCAGTCGTTACTCTCTTTCGCTCCCTGGCCCTTCTTCGCGCACGTTCCTGTATCTCGCTTACTCGTTCGTTCGTTCATCCCTCTTTATTCCTCTATTGCCGCCGCTCTCATTCCGCGTCTATACCATTCAGAGTGGACTACATTATTTCGTTGTAAGGTCCCGACCACACCGCATTATCCTAAACATCTAAATCCGGACAGCTGGAGCCCAGTCAGCGACTCCCAACTTAGTTCTGAAAACATTCTGTTTGCGCGCCGATTATTTTTATATATGTCTCTCCGAATGCAATTATGAGATTGAATGTTATTGTTTCTATGCGAGTGCTCTCGCTTGAAAAATATTGATGAAATAAAACTGTCGCAAGGAAATTATATTTATACGTAATAATATTTTTATGACAATATGCAGTTTTTTAAGATTATTCTTGCTGTACACTTTCCCGCAAATATTTGAAAAATAATTTCTTGAAGTTGTCATTTTATTTGCTATATCTCTGCAAGCTTAACGCACTGTATTGTTAAATTTTTACGTTAGGAAATAGAGAGCAGTCGAAAATATATTTCGCGATTGTTTACTTGAAACTTCTCATCTGGAAAGTTTTATATCGCCACCTTAACATTTTGACGATGAGAACCACTTCCTAATGAATGCGCCAGAGGTGTCAGAGCAGCAACTGTCAAAACACGACCGGCAAGACAGCGACCGTGCCATCGAGTGCACGACAGAGATAAACGATAGTATTAGGGCGAGGGTAGATAAAGACAGAACGGAACCTTTTCACGCCATATTGGATGTACCTCGGAAACGATGCATGCCACCGAAGCCTATCGATAATCGCGACATCCATCCCATTATTCCATCATACAAAATTCCTACATTCGTTCGTTGCACGCGTACACAACAGGCTGCTCTGGGGTTCTTATGTAACGTTTTTCGATCTCCCTCCACTATCGTTCTTGTATTGAGTTGTTGTCGATACGATCGGCTATAGTACTCGAGTAAATCAACATTTTTCCACGAATAGAACTTCTGTTTCATTCAATGTTCTTTTTTAAATAAAGTGTGCGTGTGTGTGTGCATATATATATATATACATATGATGATTATTATGTAAAAGTATATTTAAAAAGTCGACCAATACAGATTCTTTGATCAATTTAAAATTTTGACCTTTCAACATTCTCTTCTTATGCACGTTGTAAATCTGATTAAACGAATAGCGCTTCGTGCACAAAAAACACTCGCTCTCATGTAAACCTTTATTTAAAAAATTCTTTTAATCCCCAAGTTGCACGATTCATTGAATACATCTTATGACTGTAGTCGTTTAAAAATCTTCTCGTGCAATGTTTGTAAAAGAAAGAAAAAAATTGATTTAACATAGCGTAGAAATAACACATCGTCGCGACAGACGCGAGTCCCGTCATATCTCTTAAAAGTCACCGGTTGAAAGCCGCCGCAGCGAAGTCGAGAGTGCTGCGTAAAAGTCTGCGCGTATCCGTTCCATTCCCCGCATCCCGACGGCTCCATCTTCGTGTCTGGAAATCTACCCAGCTGCCAAACACCTTTGGCGAAGGGGAGAGACGAGGTCGACGTGTGACAGAGAGGAGGAAAACGAGAGAGAGAGAGAGAGAGAGAGAGAGATGAAGGTAGGAGAAAGACAGAGGGTGAGCGAGAGAGAGAGGAAGTGGTCGCATGTGGAGCAGGGTGGAGTCGACATCGAGAGTGAGCTTAGGCGTGCGCCCTGGGTATATCGGCTTTTCGGGAGAGTCTTGGTCGATGCTCCCTGGTTCCTGGTTAACCCGCGGGATCGGTTACAACCAACCCGGCCAGCTGATTGGTTCATTTTGTCAGCGACACCCGCCTACACTGTGTTATTGCGCAACTACCTTATCCGTCTGCCTCTTTCCCGTTGTATTCTCGATTTTTCTTTCTCTCTCTCTCTCTCTATGTCTCTTCTCTCTGATCCCTTCTACCCAGGCCGGCAGTTTTATTCTGCGCATTCTGTCCCTGTTTCTCTCATCGCGCCGCATCGTCGATAATCTGTCTTTCCTTCATCGCGCTCGTTCTAACTCGCGAGTTTATTTCGCCCGACTCGACTCTCCTCGCTCTTTTGACCTTCGACGAAAAAAGATCGTCTGGACACGACTCTAAGATCGTTAACGGCCGATGACTCCGCAATTTTTCGACGTTCCGGCGTGGAAGCATGTGACGTGCGAACCTGTGGGAAGGACGATTTCAGCAACGACGTGGTCTCGTGCTCTTTCTCGTGCGGTATCGTTTTAATCGTACAGCAACACGCGAACGTGATGGGAAATTGCTAATGAGAAGATTTATAAATAAAATAATAAGTATAGCATTCCCTGATACACACACACACACACACACAATTTTCATTGTTAGAAATATACAATCTCGTACGAATTGTACTTGCGGCTTGTTATTATCGTGAGATCGCGTGTCCAGCAGCACTGTAGAATCGCGCGGCGTAAATGTTAAGCCATTTTAATGCATCGATGCGTTTAACGCGTTCCATGGATTAAGCGCGAAATTTGCCACTTCGTTTAACAGTCAGGATGGGACAGGACGTATAATGGATGCGAGGATGCGAACAAAATACTCATATGATGGTCCGTTGTAATGTCATAATAATCTGTTAATATATTTTCGCGCGAACGTATGTACAGGCGCAAATAATAATAATATTAATAATAATAATAATATTATTAATAATAATAATAATAATAATGCTTCATTTGTGTTCTTCGTATATTTATATATGTATAATTCCGTATCGATAATCGTCTTTAGGTAAATTACGTAAGTCTTTACCTATAGTACATGTATATATACTATATATATATATATATGTATATTTTTTGTATGTATAGTATACGTACTGTATAATATGTTCATATTTATAAGACAGATTATACAAGAATTTCGCTAGACGAGTCTATCTACAAAGACGAGGGCGAAAGCGTGAGGGTTCTATCGTCTCGCGCTTAATAAGATCGATTAGCCATACACGGCCTCCAAATTCTCTTCTATGTTCTTCTTATTCCCGGAGTGACGCAAGTCTTTCCCAAAGAGCCAGGCGATTAATGAAATATACAAAGTCTCTATTTTCTACCTGAATCTAACAAGGAATTGACGGAAAGACAGGAGCGTAAAATGGCTCGTTGCTTTTGCATGTCGCGTTTAGCGAATTTTGTACAGAATTCTTTCACAGAATACGTCGTGCTCTTTTCTCTCGTTTAGACCAGAGTTCTTCTTGTAGCTTTATTTTAAGTATCAAATTTTCTTCACTTCTCATAATGAGAGATTACAATGATATAGTACAATAAAACATATGTACAGTTACATTAATAACATGAATAACTCTGACATATATAAACAATTACGCTACAAATATAACTGAGGTCCGAAAAAAGTGTCAAGATATGAATTTATATATTAAGAAAATGATCGTAAAACTTTAAAGTTTGAATGCGTGAATAATTTTCATATAAAATGCTAAAAAAAGCACGTATAAAATTCTATTCGTTTTATATGAGTGGAATTTGTAAATTGTAGAGAATACTGTAATTTTTATGAAGAAGAAAGAATACATTATAATTTTATTTTCGTTTATTTAGAAAATCTGGAATTCTTTTTACTAAGGCTATCTGATATTAAATGACGTATATAGGCTTATAAAATTATAAAGCATGAGAACAAAGGAAGTTATTTAAAAGAGGATATAATTTAAGGGAGTTATTTTATTATGGAATTTTGTAGGTAATCTCAATAATCCAAAGCAGTAAAATATTGTGCGTTTCTGTTTACTTTAAACAAGACAATATAAAAGAAGGATACTAAACAAAGAAAGAGCTGTTTTCTAGTGTAGTTACTTAAATATTTCGCCGGGGGGCTACGATATTTTCCGATTTCTCAATATTGATATTATAACGTCTGCGGCTAGATCTATATCTCTCATATCTGTCGTCCTATGTCAGCCTAAAAATCTGAGACCACTATCGTAGCGATTTCAATTTTCTTGTGATCTCGTTTTGATGCTTTATAAATCGACTTGCGGCATTTCGATATCGGCAAAATATAGGATTTTCACATAAGAAGTAAATATTCTCGGAATGATGAAAAACATTAATTTATGAGAAGAGAAAGAGATCATTATAGCTTCATTATATACTATGTGTATATACAATATAAATAAAAACTCTATAATGCTCTCGAAACGTTAGACTTTGCAATTTTGAAAAAATCTTTTGCATCTGTTTAAAATAATGTCTGAGATGTGTTTCCTCATTGTCGAATCTTTTTTCATTTTGGCTCACCGTCGTCAGCAATAATTTTTTTAAAAAGATATTGTAGTTAGCAGATAGTGTTAGCAGTTTGTTGTATTCTCATAAAATGTGATTATGGAGAATATATTATTACATATTATTATATAATAACATATGTATATACATACACATATAATAATATAATTAATATATATGTTATTTATATAAAGTCGAAACCTATATTAGATATATATATGTACATATATCTACATAGGATAAAAATCATATATATTATTATATATTATATAATAAATAAATTTATATATAATAAACATAATAAAATACGTTTTCCAAAATTTTCGCTTCTTTTGTGAACATCCTTAATGAATCGATTTCAATTCATTCATAGAGAGAATATTAACTAGAAAGCGGCACTAAAAACTATGAGACTCACTGCATCTGGTTCTTGGGCTTCGACGAACGGACGTGTCGGGAACATTTAACGGAAGTTATATACATACCCTGACCGATTGACTTTTTTTTTTAAATCCGAGAGATTGCACTTATTTAGTAGATTCGCACTCACTTCTCGAAGCGTCTATTCTGTCCTCGCGTTTTATAAGAGCGTTACCGGAAAATGATTTCCTCGAATGAACTGTATTGCCACACATCATCAAATAGATTCTCCCTAAGAGATTTATAGCGTAGTAGCTTTTCGAGCAAAACTTTCGGCAATGTATCTACGTATTGATATTGTTGATTTATCTTCGCATACATGTCGATCGTTTCTAAGCTTCATGGATGTGCTGCTTTCCGGTGATGATGCTAATTGATGTTGTCGCGGATGAAAGCCATCTTGAATAACGGTTCATCTTACAGCTATCTTTGAATAATCTCTGTGCGATAATTTCAAATATATTTATGGATTTTGTATCCAGCGTCACATGTTAGCTCTTCACAAAACTACGAACTGTTCTCCAGAAAGTCGTATCGCGCATCGCGTTTACACTTAATAATTTTCCTAGACACAATAAAATCTTTGCCATATCTTGCGCTTCGCGATGGCTTTCCCAAAGTCAGATTAACATTCGATCGATTAGCTTTCCCGCCTTCACAATACCTCGAAGTGCTCGCTCGCGACGTTACCGCACCGATAGTTCTTTCTCGGCGTAAGACGATCGTCCGTGCCAATGACGTCCTCCAATTTGTCGTCCTTGTCGTATCACGCGGGCGAGAACGGTCTGTGGATTTGCGGTCGTGGATTCGGCAGCGGTGGCGTGGCGACCCTTATCAGCCCCTGACCTTGGGACTGACCCTGAGGCGTCGGCTGACGGGGGGGCGGACTACCCCGAGAAGAGGGGGTGTGCGGACTGGGTACAGCCACCCTCAATGGACCGGTGGCCGATAGATTCGCCGGTATCAGTGGTGGACTGTGGGCCTCCGATAAACTATCCGATAGGCGAGATAATCCACCGTCGGATAATCGCGACGTTTCGGATATCCTGGATATCCCCTCGGACAGCTGGTGTTGGGGGTGCGGGTGCGGGTGTAACAGTCCTTCGTGCGGATGGAGTCTTGGCGGCGGTAGCCCTAGCGAATCTGGCAATCTGTAATAGAACAGAGAAAGAACTGCATTTTCTCTGGAGAAAATACAGTTTAGCAGAATCGCGATCTATTATATGCGACATGTTATTGTAATAATATGCGTATGTATGTATATATAAACACACACACAATATCTCGATATATATATATATATATATATTTATATAGAAATAATTTACCATTTTTTTAATTATATGTATGATAAATAGCGAGGAAATAAACAAGAGAGTATATTTCGAAAATTTCGTAAACGAAAAAGACAGCTATTAAAACTTACCTTGATGTGGGATCACCCCTGGGTCCTACAGCTTGAAAAGGGCTGGACTCTGCGAACCTAAAAATTCCTCCACCCGCCATATTGGGATGATTAGGCTGCGGACTGTGCGGTGCGAATCGGAAGTTCGTTGGCGGGAACTTGAAAGCCGTCGTGTGGTTGAATCGAAAATGCGGTTGCGTAGGATCGAAACGGAAATTCAAGGAAGGAGGCGGCAGAGGTCCTAGGGATCCGAGAGGGACCGGGGATGGTTGGTGACTCGGTGGCGGCGAGGAACTCGGCGACGGCGGTGAAGTTCCTCCGAGAGAAATGTCGGAGTCCTCGCTGCTGCTGCCACCGGGTCCCGGACTCATAGTGCGTCGCGCGTTTCCGTTTCCTTGACCTGATTGTTGCTGCATTCTGCTGCAAATAATCCGTAATTTACGGTTATCGACTGACATTAATAGTAGATTGAACAAATATTTAAAAATCGTCAGACGCTTGTCGTGAATTAAATTATCTGATTTCTTGGCGAATGAAAAAGGTAGAGAAAAATGTAGCAACGTAAAAATCTGTTTTGCAAGAAAAGTAGTAGTAATATAGCAGTAATGATCATTTATTTAGTAATAGTTTAGAAAATCTCGGAGATATACCTTAAAAAAAATATTAAAAATAAGAAACATATGAAATTACAGAACACAAGGTAAGAATAATAAAAATTATAATTAGAAAATGTCGCAAACACGTAAAAAATTTTTTCGTTTTGTTACGAGGGACGATCTTGGCTAAGAATAAAAATAAAAAATGTGTTAGCTTTAGACTGCTTGGATTCTCGTTGCGAGAAGACGCGCACGGAAATGTGCGCGTGTGGTCGCGATGGGAATTTTAATTCGTTCCCGCTTTCGAGGTAGCACACTGTAGGGGTGGATGTACATACGTAATGTACACGTGGATGTGTGCACGCGGTGCTGAAAACACTTTGTTTCTCCAGTCATCGCCGCGGAGAGCGCGGCCGTAATTAATGAGCGCGTTCATCCTTCCCAGCTGAGGAGGCCGAGGATTCACGGGAGAGTAACGACGATTCTCTCCCGACGACGGTTCTCGCATAAAGGAGGGATCCACCTCATTACTCGGCAGATCACGGACAGATACGGAAAAACACGGTAAACTTCACACGCGCGCCGCGTGTACGCGCAGAAATGACGGATGACCGTGCGTAACGTAACCGTGGGCTCGTCGACTGCAAAAGGTGCATATTACGCCGGTAATATTTTCCGGCGATATTAAGAAGAGCATCCCTTATGGACATCTTCTCAGGAGCAATTAAAGAATTTATGTTGCTCCGATTAACTCATTGTATACGGATCTTGAGACTTTATCAACCTTATTGGTTCGATGAAATTTCATTGTGCATGATGAGACGGCGGATGTTGAGCACTCGCGCGGGATAAACTTCCGGAAAACGACGATCGACTCGGTAAATGTCGTCCGTTACTTCGGGGGCAAACGCGATCGTGTTTATTGTCTATTGATTCGCGAGAGGGAAAGAAGAATCGTTCATAGGGATGAGAGAAGCGCGCGCGAGAATCGAGAATCATTCGCCATTCTGCTAAAGACAATGAGACGTCGCGGTCGTCTTAAAAGCCTCTCGGCCGCAGATCGATTCTAGTAGCGGGGCTTCCGAGATCCTCTCCGTATTTTCTTTGCTAATCGAGTCTCGAGTCGAGTCCGTACTGTTACCACGGTAACGCCTCCTCGAGAGGCGGAAACGTCGAATTGTTCGTTCTCTCTCTCTCTCGTGATCGGGGAAAAAACCGATTGCGACGAATGGTAAGTTCGAGGCGAACCACTCGACTTCCTCCCCGAGAACGCGCGCTCGAGATGCAGATCGATCTCGTCCGCGATATATATACATCGATAGGTTTTAATCTTTTTACCTAGAGGCTGGTAATAACACGTTATAACAATATTCTCATCGTGTGGATTAAATTTTTTCGACGCACGACGTTTGATTACAACGTCGCGCTCTTGTGTAATTATAAAATAAATTTTAAATATAAATTGACATTTTTCGCGAGCCTTATCGCGCTCGAAGTACGTTTTCGCTCAAGGTTACTTAATTAACATCGCGAGAATGTAGCTTGCATTTTATGATTCTACGTGAATATTCATGCAAGCTTCCTTTTCATCGCGCCTGATGGCACACCCGGATAGATTAATACGCGCGGAACCCAGTGAATCCTTCCAACGCGACGGTGCCGTTGAAATAATCTCTGATCGTAGTACAGAACGTAGGCATACGTATGCTGAAGAGTTAAAAAGGTACGCGATGTGTGTTAATCAGATGGAATAGCGTCATGCTCTTGCCAACGCAATCGGGACTTGATCGTCCTGGCTGAATTATACTCGTGAATAATGAAATAACCGACTGTGAATACGCGCCGTTCGATTTTGATTTTGCACGAGCATAATCGTGATACAAAAAAGACAAGAGGTTGTTAACGCGTAATTCAAGAACTCCGCTTTCATGTAGAAATTCAATTCCGTTTTATTATTTCTATATTTCTTTTATTATTTTATATTTAATTAATTTTTAATTTGTTTATCTCTCGTTTATGTATTATTTAATATCTCTATATATATGTGTATATATGTTTGTATAAGAGTTTTTTCTGTGTGTGCAAAGCTGGCGTCCAATTTCGTGAAAACTCATAAATATAAATAATTAAAAGTTCTGACTTTATTTTTAATAGCTCAAGAGTTTTTGATAGTTTGAATAAACAGTTTTGGTCATTTAAACCAACTTCACGCAGTGTTTCACTGTCTCACTTTGTCTTACAAGATTTTCCTTATCAGGATTTAAAAAATGTATACTTCTACACGAATTCTAAAAAGAATTCTGCGTTCTAAAAGCAAAAAAAATCTCGTGTCTAGAGAGAGTTATACATTTAAAAAGAAATTGTTAACTTTAACTAACCTTATTTTTTTGTGAATAGAATATATATTAGTGTTTAAGTCAAATGTAATGTTTTGTGTATTAAATTTAATATATTATATTTAACAAAAATATTTGTATATGTTTAATTAACAAATTATTATTTAGCTGAAAAGTTTAGTCAAGTTAACAATTTTTTTTAATGTACTTATTCTAAAACTATATCTCCGAATTTTAATTAGTCATTAATATTAATTATGGTATTGCGCGCGCGCGCGCGCTATTAGAATGAAGTTGCCGATGTTTGAATAGCGAATAGCTTCGGCTATTACCGAAACGCCGCGCGTACCAGGCAGTTCGAGCTGCGTCCCGCTGTGATTGATTAGTAAGCATAATCATTTCTAACCTTTGTATTGTAATATTTATCAATCGTTTATCACAATTTCAACGTTCACATATAATCATAATTGTTTGAAACACGCATTTCGCGAGAAATTCGATGCAAAATCTGTGTCAATGGTCAACATAACCTAAACTAACCTAACCTGATCTAGCTGTTTTCGCGCGCGCGAATGTGTTGCGATCCGTGGATATCTATCGTTAATTCTGGCTTACATATTTACATCATGTATGTATAATGCGAAATAATAAGATCGCTCTAATATATGTATGTATTTTATTTGTTACAGGCAGCATTGCCGATAAGCTGTGTGCGAGTTTGTCCGCGAGAATCTCGAATCGCATCGTTTTTCCTCAATGTACGCGAAATATGCGTGCAAATCACGCGTCGTGTCGGTCGGGAGTGCCGTGTAAAGTTTCGAGCGATCGTAATTATTCGTGTTTTCGCGAGTGCTACGAAGGACCAAGAGAGGAGGAGGAGGCCCAGGGAGGCATCGGGCAACAGCGGAGCAATTGTGAGGTATGCAAAATAAAAATATTATTTTCTAAACTGCATTAATTGTTTATGAGATATTCGAACGTTTCCACACTTTTATGTGTATATACATAATTTGAATATTTTGTTTTCAGATCAATGTGTTGCGTGCTGTATACTACAACTCCGATATTTCACGTATATCGGTGAGTGAGAAATTGTTTGTTTCATAACTCATTTTTATAACGATAATGGGAGTGTCGGCGTCTCATTTCACATACACGTTTTTCTCCCATTTCTCTTTTTTATATGTGTGCGCCAGTTTATATGATTCATATTTTTTGAAGACGTCATATTTTTTTAAACGTATTTTTAAATCTCTTTAATCTTATTGATACGAGTTGTATTTTTCATCTTGCTCCTTTCGTTTTCTTTTTTTGTCCTTTCACCCACGCTTTCGTCTTTTTCTTCGTCATCCATGTTTTTATCTCCGTATGCGAGACATTCGACGCGTTTTAATTATGCTCCCGGACCGTTGGCCTTTATCTTCGTCCTTTCACAAGATACCCGCACGAGGCGGTACGACTTATTATGTGCCAGGGTCTTACAGAGTCCCATCCCACATATTCCACAGCGATCGTCTCCATTGAGATCGTCTTAATGTCGTGGCATTAAAGCGCGCAGACTCAGGTGTCAATTTTTCGGCATGCATAAAAGAAACATTAAAGCCCTATACGGTGCGAATTATATACACCGCGATCTCTGCGCTAATTATATTCTGACGAGTGACAAATTGAAAGATTTTTGATTGAACGACACATGAAGCAACAACAATGTTATCCATATTAGTATACTGTATTTTATTTTTTATATCAATTTTATATCAAATTTATTTCACTTAACAGTAAGCTACTTAAAATGACATCTTGAGTTACGACAAAATAAAATGAAATTAATTAAAATATTAAATTAAAAAAAAATATCTTCCGATGTGGCTAATACTTGACAAATTTGAAATTTGAAATGTTGTATTTTTTTATTGCGATTTGAAATATCATCCTTGACATTTAACTGGTATTTGAGTCCCACTCTTTAGTATATAATAATTGCAGTTAGATATTGCACTTAATTATCTCTTAGTCTGGCCATCTGTATCCTCAGCTCATTAAATCAACACATTCGTAATTCTTATTTGACAGAGTTATTACTTATGAGATTTGTAATATATTTTAAGTATTTCTACTTCGTTCATATACAGAATATATAAGAGCGAATCTTTAATGGGAAAGCAATTACAGAGTAATTTACGATCAAGTAATGTTTATGCTGGTTTTCCCCATCTTCGGAATTAAATTTTTCATCCATTGATGTTTAGAAAAAGATTAATGAAGAGCCGTGTATTAATAATTAATACTCCAATAAACAAATTTTTTGTAAACTATCTTAACTCAGAAATTAGCATTGATAATATATCATTTACGAGATAATATAGAAGTTAACGCAGCTTTGACAGAAAACGTGTCTGTTTATATCGTTCCATGATTTATCAATCTTATATTTATTAAATCATAAAACGCTTACATACAAAAATACAAAAAAATAACTGGTTCGGAAATTTATACGAAAAAGAAAAAACCAAAATTCGTTTGTACGAATTGACAGATATATAAAGACGCGAAGCGAACTCGATTCTTCGTCGCGCATTCGCTCTTCCGCCTGCACTAAAAACGATTTCGTACGCACTTCGTTATGCATTTACGCGTCGCTCTCGCGCGCGCGGATTCGCGTGGCGAATCGCAGTGCCGAAAAGAGCCGGCGCGATAGCAAAGGCCAACAGGTGACGTTGTACTTTCGGCGCGAGACGCGGCGGTGATTAAAAAAGAAATTCATCAGCGCTGCTGCCGGGGGAAAGTATCAGGTGCAGCGGGACAGAGAAGGAGGAGGAGGAGGAGGACGGTGCACTGCCGCCGTTAAAGTATTTATGCCGCATGACGAGTCACTTTTGGAATCCCGCCGTATATTATAAAGTATTATGCACGGGGACGATGACCAGGGCTCAAACCGTGACGGAAGCTACTGTAATTACGCGCAAGATGGTTGTGCCCGGCGTTGGTAGCTCTCCATTGATCCCCGATTGAGGAACACGCGGTGAAAGGTGCGCGGCTTTTGTCCCGGGGGAAGACAAGTGTCCCGGCTTTATTCGAATTACTCGGAATTACGTTGAGAAATTGCGTCGCCGTCGCGCCGTCCTCGTGATTCTCGCGACAAATTACGTCCCCGTTGCCCGCATGTGATGTACTGATGAGTGTTCTTGGAAGATTGACGTTGAAGAATTAGCATGCAAAGTGGTACGACACAGGATATTATATATGAATGTACCGTTTCTTTTATTATTTAATATTAATTATCAATCGCGCGCCGCGTGGTGGGTTAATAATTGAACTTTGATTTGTTTCTCAAACGCCTAGCGGAATAGCTGCTGGCGCGATTATAACTCGCTGAATCAGTGCCAGGGTATTGTTTGCCCCACTCGACCTTTCGAGCTGAAATCGTGATACTGCTGAATAGTAAATGCCCAACCCAATCCTTCCATCTCACGAACGAGTTTGTACGATTTCTATTTTTTTTTTTTTTTGCTCTTACAACGTAAAAAAAAACAGCGATCGATTTCAGACCGATATCGTGAGCGGATCTATCTTAGAGTCGCGAGAGACTGACGAGGGGATATCATTTTAACAAAATCTACCCCCCGTGTCAGGGGACACCGTGAATTTCGTGCACTGTAGTAGACCACCTCCCCGCCTTCGCCCTCCCCTTCGACCCCTCGTTCGGACCAACCCCGTGCCAATGCTAAATACCCGTTGCGCACAATGGAGTACATATCGTTCGAGAATCTGAGCCATGCGAAGTCCTCCACAAAAGGTAACTGGATACCGGTACGAGGAAGAGATGGCATGTGAACAGAGATCCCGCGATTCCAAGGGAGGTTACTACGCGAACCCCTCGTGTCTCTTTCTCTCCCTTTCTGCGCCTTCCCGCTCTTTCCGCCTTGTTTCGCCCTCGTTTCTCAACTTCTTTTTTTCGACGCTAGCTCATTTTTAATAGCCGCTAATAGAGACGTTAAAACGATACGGGTCCTCTTGCTCGACTCGGAACTCGATGCTCAATTCTCTCCTCGCTTTCGCAACCCTTTCTTCGCCCTCTCTTTCTCAATCTTTCGTTCGTTGTCACCCTGCTTTCCTTGCTCATGCCTCCGGAGAAAAATGTGTTCCATCATACATGCATACATGTACAAATTTCTTGAAGAATTGTAATCAAATTACAATTTAAGTTCGAGAAAGATTATTTGAATATTTGCTCCCTATTTACCAATTTTTTATCTCGTGTTTTGAAAAAAAAAAAAAAAAAAAAAGAAAAGATTAATAGTAAAAAAAAGTTACACATTCTACGCTATAAATCAAACGTTATCATTATGAAAGCAGGGCGCGTAGAAATAAAGATGCATCCGCATCGTGCATCTTATCGCGCCACCTTTTCGCATCTCAAGGTTACATTAGACGGATAACGCACGCTCGAGACAAAGGAAGAAGGGTTCTTGGTTCGCGCGCATTACGCCGGAGATGTTTCAAGTGGCAGCGCGACGAGAGCGAGGCGGCGCGGTGCATCAGCGGGACAGGTAGCCCATGATTTGCAACATTTTTATCCGGGCCAACATCGGGAGACGCGCCTCTTTGCCGCGACGCGACGACGGGCGCGTTGTACCGGCGAGAGGAGCGAGTGTGCGGTTTGCATTTTCTTTAGTCGAGCCTCCCGGGGTTGACAGGCCGGATTCTTTCCGTCTTTCTGTCGCCCTTTCTGTCTCGGGAGCTCTGGGAGAAACCGGGCAAATGTTTGCTCGCGAACAAAGAGTATCCACTGACGTGGCGACCTCACTTGTTCCGCCGTCGCGTAGCCAGCCCCCGCGGGGCTCGATATATGTTTGTGAAGATTTTTAAGTCGGCGTGATGCACTGAAAACCGATACCCGGTCGATAGTTGTCTCTTGGCGGCTCCGTGATCGGGCGGATAGGCGAACGTTTTTTTTTTCTTTTTTTTTTTTTTTTTAGGCGAATTTCTCGTTTGTTTGGGACGGGAAACGTTTCACGACCCATACATTTTGTAGAAAATGAGAACTTGTAAATCGATATTTACTCGACTGCATGGGCGTTCGCAGAATTTTTTCCAGCAGGAGGCATAATTAATGTTTTTTTATTTTTTCTTCTTTCTTCTTTCTATTTTTTATATTAAATATGCAAATAAATTCTAGTGTTCAAAAAGAGAGCAAATTCTTAATTTTTTTTTATTGATTCCAAAGGGGGCAAGTGCTCGACTATCTTCTTTATATGATGAAGCCTTATATTTTTTACGTCGTAACGTATTAATAAAATGTTTGTACATATTTGCATTAAAATTATACACGTGGCTATATTGATTGACATTACTTTGACTTAAACTTGATCATCTGGTGTAAATTGAGTAGTATAATTTGCGATACGTTATCATTTGATATGTAATTAATAAGAGATGAATGTAGCTACTAGCAAGTTATTCCAGTTATATTGATTCTCGTATACATGTTGAATTTAATATTATTCAAATTATAGGTTAACGATGAGATATGATAGCTATCGCATTAATTTTGCAATTCATTAATCTGTATATTGTAGTAACACCGACCTTCTCGATGTAAATATTCGAGATAAACGTAAACATTTCGTAGCAGTCTGAGAAAAATATGAACAAAAGAAATGTAAAACTTTAATTAAACAGATTTATTATTAAACCGAAGATATTTTGAAGATATAAATGCAAATCCACACTTATATATACGAAGCATTATAAATTTCAATGTAAATTTAAATTTCGTTCGCGATTTTTAAGCCATTACGATCTCATGATAATAGTCTTGTTGCATTAGCAAAATAAGCATCGCGCGTCTCCTTCCCTTTCGAAGGACTTGCGCTCGTTGACTAGAGACGACGACAAACATTTTCCTACAGGAGTAGACATGTTGAGTGTTTGCGCAGGCTTTTGTACGAGGTTTCCTCGGCATTCTTCGTGGGAAAAATCTCCGAAAATTAAATCCCGACCCTAATATTTCATAAGGATACGTGGTCAGCACTAATCCCGTTGTCTCTCTCTCTCTGTCTCTCATGTCCATCTTTGGC